TGACACAAGCTTGTAATTCCAGCTACCCAGGGGCTGAGGCATGAGAATCACTTTAACCCAGGAGGCAGAGGTTGCAATAAGCCGAGATTGTGCCACTGCACTCTAGCCTGGGCAACAGAGTGAGACTCTGTCTCAAAAAAAAAAAAAAAAACCTGAATAATAATGGAAGTTTGTCCATAGTCATTGGTTTATACTAAGAGGAGTGGTGAAAAGAACAGGGTATTAAGATGTATACATCCTATGTTTTAGTCATTCTTCTGTTTAATATTCATGTAACTCAGTCATCTCAGGGCCAGCCTTTTCACCTATACTGGGGCTTTCTTGACAGTACAGTCCGTCATGGCCATGACTGACTCTTTCTTAGTGGCCTCTGTTGGCAGAAATAATTATTTTGGAAATTTTCAGCCAACTATATAAACTGAACTTCACATCTTTATTATTTTGCGCCAACACCAAGTATGTGAGACCCTCTACGCCTCTGACATTTCTTGTACTCCGACCTCCATACTGTTGGTTTTTCCCTGTACTTATTCCTTTATCAGTAAGATCCTTTAGGAGGATAATATAAAACCCCATTCTAACAGACTTCACCATAGAGGGGACTTACTGACTTGTAACTGGAACAGTCAGGCTTTAGAATTAGTTGATCTATGAGCTCTATGATGTCTTTAAATACTTGGTTTCCTCCTTTATTCCGACATTCCAAGTATCTGTTTTATCGTAAATCAGATTCTACTCTTTCTCATAGAATGACTGCCAGGTGCAATCAAGGACACTAGTGTACTCACACTTAGTGGGAATGAGACCCCCTTCTCTCACAGCATTCCAAGCAAGAGTACTGAGGGTAGGGGCAGCTACCTTCAAAGAACATGAACTGTTTGAGGGTGCATGAGTGTTGGGAGGAAGATGTGCATATAATTAGATAGGGGAAGGGGTGAATGGCTAGACAACCAATGTGTATCTAACCATCTGCTCCACTGACTTCTCCACTGTTATTTCTGGAACCCTTGTCCTATGATAAATAAACTCCTCTACTTTTTTATACTCTTCCCTGGATCTTCCCTTCTCTTCCTGACCTCTTCTAAAATCCATTGAACCCTGACAAAAATATTTCCCATGCATCCGTCTTCCTCCCACACCCCATACCACAAAGTGAGGAGGAAAGATCAGATCAGTATCTTCTTGTTCCCCAGAGGCCACCTCCACCCACCATGGCCGTGATGTCCAGTACTTCTTCACCATTGTGTAAAAACACCTTTGAGGCTCATGATCTGGTTTTCCCATTTGATATCCTGCTCATGTTGTCTCTCCCAATCAGCTGGGAGTTTCTTCTTCAGATACTCGGGGTCCTGCTTCAGTCTTCCTTTCTACTCCCAGGCTCCACCATCAGCCTGCTGGACTCCAGTGTTCATATAGGCAATTTACCCAAACTAGGCTCTTGTTTTCTTACACTCTTGCAAAGAAACTGCTTAACCCTTGAGGTCTTAAATTCAAATATCTCACATTTTTACTATAACCTGACTACTCCTATTTTACTGTTTTATTGATTTTACTGAGACTATAGTTTCTCTTTCTGTCTAAAACATTGCTCTGCTCATGTTTTATATTACATTTCTTCCTATCTCTGCAGGGATCTCACTCTAAATATCTTCATAATGTAATTTTTAAAATGGTTTCAAGTAGAATCATAACTATGATAAATTTCTTAAATATCTTGTGCAAATTTAAAACATAAGTGTATATTTATTCCCAAATCTTTTGATCTAAAACCAAGGCCTTTTGTTAACTATAAATAATTTGATTGGCAATCCTCACTGTCCTTGTACAAACTATACCTTTAATGACTCATCTTTGATTTTCAATTTCAGCTTCTTGAAAGTGGAACATGAACATAAAGAAACATAAGCAATATGAATTCAGAAGCCTTTCCCAGTCTTTCATAAGGACAAGTTTTTTGTGGGAGTTCATTTTTTTTGTAACTCTTTTTTTTAAAGTATTTCTAAAACCTTTTATCTATCCTAGAATAAGTTTTTAAATTTTGTATACATTTAATCAGTCAAATATTTAAATTACATGAAGATAAGCATAACAGGCATAAACAGGTTTTGGAACAACAGGCTTAACCATTGGTTTGTATGTAACTCAACTGCTGGAAGAAGAAATGTGAAAATGTGTTAGAAAATAGCCTGGCAGCCTTGAGTTGTAAGCATCAACCAGTATGTGGACATGAGTTCTTGTGGAGAGGAAGTTGAGGAGGTCAATATTTAGGTCTCTCCTATCTAAAAAATGTATCTATTCTGTGTCTCAGCCCTTTCCAGCTACACTGCGTTAGTTCTCCTTATTTTCATGGACAAATCCAGAGAATTGCCTAGGTGCACTCTAGTTCATCATTTCCTTCTTATTCCTCCATCATAGTAGTTTGATCTATACCCCTGCTGCTCCCTTAACACTGCTTTTGCTAGACATCAGTGGCATTCTGCTGCAATATTCAATGAAGACTTTTCAGTTTTTCTCAACATCTGTACAGTTGGTACTGTTTTCACTGCTTACTTGTCACAACTTCTTAGAACCCATCTTGGCCTAATGTTCCTTCTACCTCACTGATCATACTAGAGTTAGGGCCTCAATGCTTTTCACTTCTCACTCTGCAAACTCCCTTGGGTACTCGTGTAAGTACAATAACTATTTAATATTAATGACTTCCTCTTGCGTGTACTGTAGCCACTTCAAACTTGGCTTGTCCAAAATTGAGTTTCTCTTTTTTCCCCAGAAAGCCTCCTTTCCCTTGACTCCCTTGACTCTGTCACCTCCACCCCTCCCATCCATTCAGTACCAAGTCCTATGGAGTGTAACTCCTGAATATCTTTTAAATCATTCCGATTCCCCATTTCCTAACTTTGTATACTTTAATCATGAGCCCCAATTACAGCCCCAAGAACAACTTCTCTCTTGAATGAGCCCTTTTACAAACCTTTCAACTCATTATAAGTTGAGTAATTTCTCTAAAACACAAATCTTCTATCTCTCATCTGATTAAAACCCTTCAATGACTCTCAAACTGCATTCAGAATAAGATTGGATGTTTGAGGGAGTTTTTTGTTGTTGTCATTGTTGTTTTAATGCTTTGTAGAGACAATGTTTCACTCTTTTGCCCAGGCTGATCTCAAACACTGGGCCTCAAGCAATCTGCCTACCTCAGCATCTCAAAATATTGGGATTATAGGCATAAGCCATGGTGCCCAGCCAAGGTTGGATTACCTGATGATTCCCAAGGCTCTTGATTTGCTAGTCTCTACTTACCTTTTCAGCCTTCTCTCCTCTTCTTACACATTGTTCAAATGTTGGTTTGCTAGTTGCTCTTTCTGGAAAATCTTTCTTGACACACATTCCCCCTGCCCCAAGACCAGAAGGAGGTTCTCTTCTTTGGTCTTTCGGAGTTCTCTCTGCTTACCTTTTCATAGCACTCATCTCAGTGTAGTATAACTACCTGTTTATCCATTTGTCCTTTCTACTATATTAGAATGTCAGCGTCCAAGACAATTTGCCATTTATCCCCATTGCCTATCACATAACTAGGTACTGTACAAGCTTATAAATATTAGCTGGGTGAATGGCCTTAAACAAGTCACTTAGCCTCTCTGAGGCTTTAATTGCTTCATTAGAAGGGAATAAGTGATGCCCTACCTACCTTATAAGGTTATTTTGGAGTCCCGTAAGATAACAGAAATGAAGCTTATCATAGCGGTTAAGAGTATGGGTTCTGGATCAGTACTGCCTGGCTTTTAATCCTATCTGTGACCCTACAACTAGCTGCATGGCTTTAAGCAAGTTACTTCTCTGTGTTTTAGTTTTCTCTTCAGTAAAATAAGACTAACCACAGTGTATAACTCAGAGGGTGGCTAAAGGACTGAGTGAGTTACTGCATGGACAATATTTTGAACCATTCCTAAACACACAATAAATGTTAGCTACTAAAAATAACATTTTATTTATAAGTCCTAAAATTTTATATATATATATATATATATATATGTATATGGATTGATGATAGAGAGAAACATATGGCATCAGTATTACTAGCTTGAATGTTTTAAGGGAATAAAGACTGTTATCATTATTCTTAATAATTTTTTTTCTTTCTTTTTAGGATAATGCCATAGCTGTATCAGAATTTATTTTCCAAGTCTTAAACTCAAATTGTCATTCTTAATTTACATGACATTTTAGTTTAAAAAATTGGTGTTCAGTCTACCAATTTTAATACCAAGCATGTACTGTATCTAGTTACGTGAAAATAAGTTTTTAAATGTTTTTGAAAAGTTTTGTTGAATCTTTGTACATAGTAGGTGGAAGTTAGCACTGGAAAAATATTAGAATAAAAAATATTACTGGCGGGTGCAATGGCTCACATCTATAATCCCAGTACTTTGTGAGGCCAAGGCAGGAGGATTGCTAGAGCTCAGAAGTTTAAGACCAGTCTGGGCAATACAGGGACACCTCATCTCTACAAATAATTTTTTTAAATTAGCTGGGAATGGTGGTGTGTCCCTGTAGTTTCAGCTACTTGGGAGTTTGGGGTGGAAGGATCACTTGAGCCCAGGAGGTCGTGGCTGCAGTGAGCTATGATTGCATCATTGCACTCTAGCCTGGGCAACAGAGTGAGACCCTGTCTCAAAAGACGGCAGGGAAGATTACTGATTTAATTTATAAAAGAATTATTATATCTCCAACACCTGACCTTATTTTTCTATATTATTTAATTACACAAACAGTTCAGTGTTTGAATTATACAAATTTCATTAAAACTATATAATTATGCAAGAAAAATAGAAAATACAAGGACACTTAGATTTGTGCATATGTGTTTACCTGAGAGGATTTACATGTTTTTTTAAAAACATTCTTTTTAATTTAAAATTTAATTTTATAATGCACATTCATATGTTGACTTTGGACCAACAGAAATCCCTAATTCTTATTCTTTTTCTGATTCTTTTTAGAGTTGGTGGTTCCAGGATTTTATTCAGAATGACATTAGGAAGAGAAGTGATGTCTCCTCTTCAGGCAATGTCTTCCTATACTGCGGCTGGCAGAAATGTTCTAAGATGGGATCTTTCACCAGAGCAAATTAAAACAAGAACTGAGGAGCTCATTGTGCAGACCAAACAGGTGTACGATGCTGTTGGAATGCTCAGTATTGGGGAAGTAACTTATGAGAACTGTCTGCAGGCACTGGCGGATATAGAAGTGAAGTATATAGGTGGGTCAGATGCAGAAGCACATTAGTGTTTCACTTTGTGGACATCTTAAATCATTTCACACTTCCTCTCTTTCAGTTTTCCAGTTTTACAAGCATTGATTTTTACATAATAATTAATTACAGATTTTTAAATTGTATTATGTTGGCAAAGGTGCTATAAAATGTACACTGTCATTACACTGCTTTCTGGAGAGCATTTTGACAATGTGTCAGAACTTTTAAGACATTCATACCCTTGCCCATTAATTCCACACCTAGACATTTATGCTAAGAAAATAATCATATATAGACAAAATTCATGTATCAATTTAGACGTTTATTCTAAGAATATAATATATAGGCAAAATTAATGTATCAATTTATGTATAAATAAGTATTCTTGTCATATCATAGGCTTAGAAACAATTCCCAAATGTCAGCCAATAGATGAGATAAATAAATTATGAAACATCCAGCCTCTGTAATGCCGTATAACCATTAAAATCATGGTTTACAGGCAGTTATTTAATGACGTGGAGAAAAGGACACAGAAGAACTGGAAGAAAATAAACAAATTTTATCAATGGTTATCTTAGGATTCTCCAGAGAAATTGAACCTGTAGGGTGTGTGTGTGTGTGTGTGTGTGTGTGTGTGTGTGTGTGTGTGTGTGTGTGTGTAAGTCTATAAATATATGTGTTTGTGGGGAGAGAGATTGATTGATGTAAGGAAGCTGAAAAGTCCGGAATCTCAGTGTGGGCTGGCAGGCTTGAGACCCAGGAGGGCTGATATCCCAGCTCTAGTCTGGAGATCCAGAGGAGCCAATAGTGCAGAAGTGTGAAGGCAGTCTGCAAAACTCCCTTATTCAGGGGAGGCCAGTCTTAGTTCTGTTCAGGCCCTGAACTGATTGGATGTGGGCGACCACAATATAGAGGGCAGTCTGCTTTACTTCAAGCTTGCCACTCTAATTTTAATGTCATCAAAAACACCCTTCAAGTTAACACATAAGATGAATCATCAGAATGTTTAATATAGCGGGTGATGGGTTTATAGCTAATTTTTACCTTCTTCTTTATGCATTTCTCTATTTTCTGTATTTTTTGCCCTGACATACATTATTTTTATATTTCTAAGGGTGGGACATATTTTGTAGAATAATTATGACAAACAACCTTGGCTGTATATCCAGGCTTCAGAAGAGAATATAAGATAGCTGCAGAACTCGATATCATAGACATTTGTGTGCATTTAGGAATTTGAAAGATTGTCAGAATCCAGCAAAACCCTAGTGACCTGGTCATCTCCTTGCCCCCACTATCCCTTCATCTTCAAGGGTTCTCTACTCTGTTTCACTGTAAAAAGGACGTGGCTATTTTCTCTTATCTCAGCATTTGTTTTAGTTTCTGCTCCTACTACCAACTGCTTCACTTTCATAAATGGCTACTAGGTCTTATTACATGTCTTGAATTTAAACTCCTGAATAAAACGATCTGGTTGTCCTCATTAGTCAAAGGGGTAGAGTTGGTCCCTATTCAGCAGAGCTTTTTGAGCTGGCGACTTCATGTGCACGTACCATCCTGAATGTGGTTTGTCCTTGGTTCAGGTGCTCAGTTCTTCAGTCACTTGTGGCCAAGATGGTGTGCCAACCCATAACTTAGGGATTTGAGACAAGGTCTCACTTTGTCACCCAGACTTTAGTGCTGTGGCACAATCTAGCTCACTGCAGCCTCAAACTGTAGGGCTCAAGAGATCTCCTGCCTCAACTTCCTGAGTAGCTGGGACTTCTTGCATGTGCCACTACGCCCAGCCAATTTTTAAATTCTGTGTGGAGTTGAGGTCTCACTATGTTGCCCAGACTGGTTTCACATATGTTGCCCATTCCTCGTCTCAAGTGATCCTACTCCTGTAATATTGGGGTTCAGGGTGTCTTCAGCTCCTCTGAAAGGACATTTCTCCAGGTTCTTGGTCTCCTGCCCTCCCAAGAATGAGAGAGGGGTCCACAGCACAGTGCGCAGTAAATACTGGACTCAGAAGTGTTTGTAGAAAGTGATTTATTTAAAGAGAGAGAGAAACAGGAGAAGGAGAGAGAAAGAAACAGCTAACTCTCACACTGAGTGAGAGAATCCAGAAAGATGGAATCCAGGAGCGAAAAGCGGCTTCCACGAAAGTGTTAGGGAATAGAGAGAGAGATGGAATTTAGCAGAAGACAGGTTTCCACGAGAGTGTAGAAGGGGACTCCAGAGGGAAAATCCAGGAAAGAGAAAGAAAGATGTCTTCCACGAAGGGAGTATTCTTAGAAGGAGACCCAAACATGGAGTCTGAAGTGGTGTGGAAGAAGGCTTTTAACCTGGGAGGAACCCTCACCTTCTCTACCACCCCAGGCCAATGAAAAGAGTTCCTTAGAACTTCTGCTAGAGTGATTGACTCTTAGTTTCTTCCCGTGCCTGTGAAATTTAAATGTAAACCGTTAAATCTCCTGGATGGAGAGAGATGGGAGAGGGTCATGGCGCTAAGAAATTATTGCCCTTAAAACTACGCCCCCCTGTGGACCCAGAAAGAGAACGCATTCCCTCACTGCCTTGGCCTCCCGAAGCACTGGGATTACAGATGTGATCTACCACCACGGCTGGCTCAAACAAAATCTTTTTTAAATAATTATTTTAAATTTTTTTCTCTCAATAATAGATATTTTCAGCATACTTTCAGGTTTGTGTTATTATTGTTCTATAAATTTATTTTTGTGGGTTATCCAAATTTTTGAGTTTGGGAATAGGTTTCTTAAAAACTAACTTTCTCTTATCTGAGCATATTCTCCTAGTCAATTATGCCTCTTGCAGTAGCTAGTGAAACATTGGTTGTCTAATGTCAGGCACTGGGCATCAGCATTGTCTATAGTTCGGCAGTGAGAGCATAAATCTGGTTCCAGGTCTTTGTGGCAAAGTAAGGAAGGAAATGGCTTTCAGCATCTTCATTTGTTTAAGAATATGTTTCTAATTTTAGGCTCCTGCATTTGATATTGCTTATATAAGTTTTTGAGCAATTTTGATTCCTTCTTAATATCTTTTATAGCTTTTTTTTTTTTTTTTTGAGACAGGGTTTCACTCTTGTTTCCCAGGCTGGAGTGCAGTGCCCAGGCTGGTCTCAAACTCCTGCCCTCAGGTGATCCACCCACCTCGGCCTCCCAAAGCAGTGGGATTACAGGCGTGAGCCACCATTTTATAGCTAATTTCTGAAAGTAAATATATTGCAACCATATAGTTAACCAATATCACTTAAATAAGTGCTGTATGTATTAACTTTCAAATTTTTCTATTCCTTTCTTTCCTTAGCTGACAGACATAAAATTATATATTAAATCCTAAAAGCATAATTTCATAATTTGATCTTTCAAAAATATACCTTATGGATTTATTCTGATATCTGTGGCAGGTATTTCTAATAGCTTTATTTGTAGCAATGTTTTAAGAGGACTGATATGAGTGAGGCAGTTGTTTAACTGTATAATTTCTTGCTGTGTAAAGGATAGCTCTACTGTCTACTATATATTATATGTAAGTTTTACTATTTATAATACCTTTACAATACTAAAGTTAATCAAATAAAAATGTACTTATTTTCACAGCATGGCCACAACCATCACTATAAACCATACTTATTTTTGTTCTGTAGTATTGGTTATTTCACGACATCAGAGATTTTTGCCCAATTTAAGTTAAAATGCAAATTTATGAGAAATCCAAGAACCAATTGTAATATGTGAAGATTAAACCAAACTAAATTACCATCATTATTTCACAGGAATGTCTCCAATGTCTAGCTACTTATTGGATGTGTCCACTTAGGTTTCTGTGAATCCTTTGAAATTATCTGGAATTTTGAATGTTTTTATTCATGTGTGCATTTGCAATAGGGGCCATTGCTTTGATTCGATTTTCTGTGGAATCTTTATCATTTTATGTACCCTTTCCAAATCCCAGATCCTAAGGTACCTCAGTAAAGGAACTGTGTCATTATCTTCCTTCATTCCCAGTTGATAAATTACACCCTCAGCCCAGGTGCAGTGGCTCATGCCTGCAATCCTAACACTTTGGAAGGCTGAGGAGGGAGGATCACTTTAGCCTAGGAGTTGGAGACCAGCCTGGGAAATATTGCAAAACCCTGTCTCTACAAAAAATACAAAAATTAGCTGAGTGTGGTGGTGCAGTATCAGCTGACTGTGGTCCCAGATACTCAGTCGTGTTGGGGAACAGGGGGAGGGGTTTAGGCAGAAGGATTGCTTGAGCCTGAGAGGTTGAGGCTGTAGTGAGCTGTGATTGCACCACTATGCTCCAGCCTGGGTGACAAAGCGAGACCTTGCTCAAAAAAAAAAATTATACCCCAATGATAGGTGCTCAGCCCACATCCTTACTGTTCATGATGATGCCAACTAGAACTAGTAAGTTCTGCATTAGATGCTTTTTCTTGGTAGCCTTGGGAGCCTTTACAGAAAGTATATAAAAAAAAAACTTTTATTGGCATGATCATTCATCTGTGTATGAGGTATTTGGCTTAATAATGATTTGACAAGTCCTATTATGGTAATAGTTTTTTTCTCCATCCGCAGTGGAAAGGACCATGCTGGATTTTCCCCAGCACGTATCCTCTGACAAAGATGTACGAGCAGCAAGTACAGAAGCAGACAAAAGACTTTCTCGTTTTGATATTGAGATGAGCATGAGAGGAGATATATTTGAGAGAATTGTTCGTTTGCAGGTAAGTTGTGTTATAAATCCCTTTAAAGGGGGGAGAACTCTACAACAAAAAGAATCTTCAACCATCAATAAAACATACTGACCGGACTTTCTTAGATTTTTGTTTCCAATAATTATAATACCATAATGGGCATCATATAGTATTACATCATGTTAATTATATCACTGAGGTTATGTTGAGCTGCTAATTCCTTTCACTTAAAATTAAAAACCAAACGTAGAAGAGTGAACGTCTGTAAAGTTAAGGCTTTTTAACAACATTATGAACTTGATGGTTACATGTAAGGGTTATCTTAGACCAAATCAATTAGAAGCAAATAGAATCAAGTTTTTTATCAGTAAATATCTTGTAGTTTTGAAACCATAATGTTGATGACATACCGTTGATGTTATGCCAGAGTCATTCCTGTCTGTCATCCTTACATTTTTCAAGACTTGTGGAAATTATGGATAATAGATATTCTAGCTGGGCCTGTCCAAGTGTTTTTGTTCTTTTCGTCACCAACGTTGATTTGCCTCCTAGCAGTTTCATCATGTCTTTGCTTTCAATTTTTATTTTTATGACAGTTCAGCAATTTGTTTGGAAAAAAACCCAGTGTTTTAAAATTATAGGCATTTTTTGTTTACTTTTGCATGTTTCTTTCTGCAGAATCCCAATTTTTTTTTCCTTTTTAGCAGACCATGACAAGAGTTGAAATATAATATTTTAAATTAGCTTTTTATTTTGTAACTCATTATAGAATATGTAATCAAGATTTAGACATGTAAGATGTATATCCTATTTATTTTCTTGTATCAGACAAGCATTTTTCATCCTATAATTCATAATCATATAATTCATAATAGTTCACATTTAATACTATAAATTTTATGGTGAAAATAACTTTATGATTATTCTTCATTGGCTAAATCTTTTTGCTCCTTTTGACCACAGTTATTCTATGTGATTTGAATCATGGCCTGTATAATCTCCTCATTTTATTTCATCTCCAAATTACTTTTCTTTCTTGTTCTTTTTTTTTTAATGTAATTTGGGATTTTTCCTAGAATTCTAATTTCCTTTTGATTAATCCTGTTTTCATCATGATTTCTTAGTTCTCATTTGGAATAATGTATTTGTTATTATTTCACATTCTGTGATTCTTAGGAATGTTACCAAGATATGAAAGGTTTGTCACTTCAGATTTCTTTGTCATAGAGTACTTTTAAATTTCATATATTCGAGACCAACTGGCCAACATGGTGAAACTCCATCTCTGCTAAAAATACAAAAATCAACCGGGCATGGTGGCAAGCGCCTGTAATCTCAGCTACTCGGGAAACTGAGGCAGGAGAATCACATGAACCCAGAAGGTGGAGTGAGCCAGGACAGAGCGAGACTCTGTCTCAAAATAATAATAATAATAATAAATTTTGTATAGTTTTGGGATTGATTCCACTAAACTTGGGAACAAATAGCTGCCTCTAGAGTAGACGGTCACACTGTAGTGACCTAATAGACACCAATGCATTCATCAGATTTGTGTCTTTATTTGAGCTGGTTCATTTCAGAGCTTTGTTTTAACAATTTAAGGTAATTTCAGATTTGGTTCTATAATTTTTCATCTTTTCAATGGAGTGATTACTCTCATACATATGGATTATTGTGTGAACATGTTTAGGGTCTACAACATTTGTTTACATCAGGATGATAAAAAATAACTGTTTGTTTTTGCATTGGAGCTCACTAGGTGAATTTACTTACCTTCAAACATCTTTCATGACAAATAGTTTTGTTTATTTAGGCAGTTTTTTTTTAAAACCTAGAATTACCAGTGTTCTCTGCTAGCGTTAAACACTTTAATAAATGATAAAACTTATCCCATTCGTATCTAAAGGGCAAAATCAGATATCCAAGTATTTTATTTATTTATTTATTTATTTTTGTCAGCCAGGCTGAAGTGCAATGGTGTAATCTTGGCTCACTGCAACCTCCACCTCCCTGGTTCAAGCAATTCTCCTTCCCCAGCCCCCCAAATAGATGGGATTATGGGCACGTACCACCATGCCTGGCTAATTTTTGTATTTTTAGTATAGGTGGGGTTTCACCATGTTGGCCAGGCTGGCCTCGAACTCCTGACCTCAGGTAATCTGCCTGCCTCAGCCTCCCAAAGTGCTGGGATTACAGGTGTGAGCCATCACTCCTGGCTATTTTATTTATTTTCTCTATAATACTATAAATTAAATAGAATAGCCATGATGTAGTATATAAAGACTTCATTAACGGCTGGGCATGGTGGCTCATGCCTGTAACTCCAGCACTTTGCGAGGACGAGGCAGTCAGATTGCTTGAACTCAGGAGTTCAAGACCAGCTTGGGCAACATGGCAAAAACCCATTTCTACAAAAATAAAAAATAGAAAAATTAGCTGGCCATGGTAGTCAGTACCTGTAGTCCCAGCTACTCAGGAGGCTGAGGTGGGAGGATTGTGCCCAGGAGGTTGAGACTACACTGAGCAGTGGTTGTGCCATTGTACTCCAGCCTGGGTCACAGAGTGAGACCATGTCTCAGAAAAATTTTAAAAAAAATCCGCACATAAAGGCCTCATTAAGCTGGATAAATAGGATCTTAAATTTACATGATGTCAGCAATTTCAGACATGCTCTACTAAAATGAGGATGCTCTGAATAATATTCCCAAGATACCAGTAATGTATATAATAATCAAATATATTATCCAAATTGGATATAAAATGTTATTTTAGTTCTCTTTATTTTCTACTTTAATACATAGAAAAGTGAAATTACTTTTCATAGTTCTTCATGCAATAAGGACTCCAGTTACCTATTGATGCATAACATATTGCCCGAAATCTTAGTGACTCGAAATAGCAACAATTATTTTCTTTTTTCTCACAGTTTCTGTGGATCAAGAATTCAGGAAGGAATTAGTTGGACAGTTCTGACTTGGGGTCTGACATGTGATTTCAGGCAGTGTTGGCTAGGACTGAAGCAGGTATGAACTAATAAGGCATCTCACTTTATGTAGTCTCAGGGTGTCTGTATTAGTACATTTTCACACTGCTATAAAGAGTACCTGAGACTGAGTAATTTATAAAGAAAGAGGTTTAATTGACTTACAGTCCCACATGGCTTGGAGGCCTCAGGAACTTAGTCATGGCAGAAGGTGAAGGGAAAGCAAGGCATGCCTTACATGGTGTCCAGAGAGAGAAAACACAAGGGAAGCACCAGACACTTATCAAACAATCAGATCTCTTAAGAACTCACTCATCATCACAAGAACAGCATGAAGGAAGGCACCCCATGATCCAATCACTTCCCACCAGGTCCTCCCTTGACATGTGGGAATTACAATTTGAGATGAGATTTGGGTAGAGACACAGCCAAACCATATCATTACACCCCTGGCTCCTCACATTTCAAAACCAATCATACATCCCCAGCAGTCATCCATAGTCTTAATTCATTCCAGCATTAACTCAAAAGTCCAATTCCTAAGCCTCATCTGCGACAAGGCAAGTCCCTTCCACCTATGAGTCTGTAAAATCAAAAACAAGTTAGTTACTTCTAAAATACAGTGTGGGTATAGGCACTGGGTAAATGTTCACATTCCAAATGGGAGAAATTGACCAAAACAAAGGGGCCATAGGCCCTATGCAAGTCCAAAACCCAGCCAGGACATCATTAAATCTTAAAACCTCAAAATCTCCTTTGACTTCATGTCTCACATCCAAGGCACGCTGATCCAAGAAGTGGCCTCCCATGGCCTTGGGTGGCTCCTCCTCTGTGGTTCTCAGGTTACAGTCCCTGCAGCTGCTTTCACAGGCTGATGTTGAGTGCCTGCAGCTTTTCCAGGTACAGGGTGCAAGCTCTCAGTAGATCTACCATTCTGGAGTCTGGAGGACTGTGGCCCTCTTCTTACCGCTCCACAAGGCAGTGCCCCAGTGGGGACTCTGTGTGGGGGCTCCAACACCATATTTTCCTTCCTCACAACCCTAGCAGAGGTTCTCTGTGAGGTGTCCACCCCTACAGCAGACTTTATTTGGACATCTATGCATTTTCATACATCCTCTGAAATCTAGGAGGAGGCTCCCAAAGCTTAATTCTTATCTTCTGCACACCTCCAGGCCCAGTACCATGTGGAAGCCATGAAGGCTTGGGGCTTGCATCCTCTGAAGCAATGGCCCAAGCTGAACCTTGTCTCCTTTTAGCCACACTGGAGCTGGAGCATCTGGGATGCAGGGCACTATGTCCTGAGGCTGCACAGAGCAGCAGAATGGGAATGGAGGGGGCCCTGGGCCCCTGCCCACAAAAGCATTTTTTTCTCCTAGGCCTCCAGGCCTGTGATTGGAGGGGCTGTTATGAAGATCTCTGACATGCCCTAGAGACATTTTCCCCATTTTCTTGGCTACTAACATTTGACTCCTTGTTACTTATGCAAATTTCTCAGCTTGCTTGAATTTCTCCCCAGAAAATGGGTTTTTCTTTTCCATTACATGGTCAGTCTGCAAAATTTTCAAACTTTTATGCTGTGCTTTTCCTTTAAGCATAAGTCCCAATTTCAAACCATCTCTTTGTGAATGCATATGGCTGTATGCTGTTAGGAGCACTCAGGCCACATCTTGAATGCTTTGCTGCTTAGACATTTCTTCTGCCAGGTACCCTAAATCATCTCTCTCAAGTTCAAAGTTCCACAGATCTCTAGGGCAGGTGTAAAATGCCCAGTATCTTTAGTAAGACATAGCATGGGTGACCTTTACTCCAGTTCCCAATAAGTTCCTCATCTCCATCTGAGCCCACGTCAGCCTGGACTTCATTGTCCATACCATTATCAGCATTTTTGGTCAAAACCATTCAATAAGTCTCTAGGATGTTCCAAACTTTCCCACATCTTTCTATCTTCTTCTCAGCCCTCCAAACTGTTCGAACCTCTGTCCATGACCCAGAAATGCTTCTGGATTTTCAGGTTGTCTTTATAGTAGTACCCCACTATCCTGGTACC